CGGTTCCATTCAGCGGGAGGAGATCAGCGAATGGATGTTTGCTCGTCTCCTTCCCTGCTTCTTGCTGACACCCTAGATGCCAGTCCCGGGCCCACAGCTCAGGAAGCAAGGTGGAGGGTGTTTTGGTCGAGTGAAGGGCAGCCCCTGGAAGTAATCTGGCAGCAGCTTAGCCGCCAGAATCGCTTCCAGTGTAAAGCTGGCAGTCAACTTTACACATGTAAACAGAGCCCTCACAGTTTAAAGGGCCTGCTGCCAGCGACATATGACATACATCGGTGGCAATGAAACGGTTAAGCCATGGGTGCAACGGTCAGCACCCCCCACTCAACAAACATCAATTTCTAAATCAACTTTTGTCAAAGGAGCCAGTCCAAAACTCCTCGGCAGAACAGCTCCTGCATTCAGTCAGATGCAGGCGCTGGTCTAGTAATCAGTAGTAGCCGGCAGCAGGGATTCCTCCATCCATGATACGTAGCATGGATAGAGGAATTGAGGGATTTCTATAGTTCAGCGCCTGGGTTTAACGCAAGAAATTTGAAGTCTCTATGGCCAGCTTTGCTCATTCATTTTAATTGCACTACAACTTGCAAAATTGCTTCAGAACCCATTGGCAAGCATAAAACACATAGAATGCTTTTTTTTTTTACAGTGGCAATAAGGCCAAAATGCCGCTTTATAAATGGACCCCTAAAATAAAGAATATGTTTATAGTTTAAATATGTAAAATACATGATCACGGGATCATTTTGTGCATATATGCATTTTTTATTGTAATTGTACATATGTATTGCGTAGTCACCAGTGACCTCACATACCTATTCCCTAAATCTGTGTAATGGCCAGTAACAGTTTGCTAAGTGCAGTTACTTAAAACAATCAATCAAAAGTTACTTTATTGAAGTCAGAAAGATCATTTCTGATTGGTTACTATACATTAGACATGTGCACTGCCAAAAAATTCCTTTAGTTTCGTTTCGTTTTAAATTCAGATTTGTGTTATTTCGTTTTTCGGGATTCAGGTGTGAAAGTCAATTCGGATTCAGATTCGGACGAAATTCGGTAGCGGTAGTTCGAACGTTCGTTTCGTTTTCGGTTCTTATTCGTTTCTTATTCGTTTCGTTCGTTCGTTTGCAGCAAAGTGACATTTGAGGGGGGGGAAATGTTTTTCTCCTTCTCTAATGTCACTTTGCTCCAACGAACGAAACGAATAAGAAACGAAAACGAAACGAACGTTCGAACTACCGCTACCGAATTTCGGAAATGGAAATTCGGATTCGTTTGCATTCGTTATGTCTGTAATTCGGAATTCGGATACATCCGAATGTCCGAATTTCCGAAAATTCGTCCGAATTTCGATTCGGAACGAAACGAATCGCGCATGTCTACTATACATTACTGCACATTGCTCTCTGGCTTACTGGATAATGTGGAATCCCATATAGAAACTTTACTATGGTTATCTTGAGTGTACTAGTGAGCAACCAGAAATCATCACTACTCTCCTAAATAATGTGATATTAGATAATGATTCACTACTGATTGCACGCCTCAGGAACCTGTATGGTAGATCACATACTGTATGTGTACAATAGTTGGAATTCTGCAGTCAGTTTACTTTCCATTGGATGTTAGAGGGGACAACCACATTTTTCTTTGCACAGCGTGAGACGTATACAAGTTTAAAAATAAATATACAGGTGTCCTTTTACCGTTTTTATGTGTTTTAATTTTATAGCGCATGTTTAAAAATATAAAAAAAATTAGTGTCCGGCACGCGCTGAACGTTCTAAAGCTTTATTGTGATAGCTTAAACAGCTCACACAGTACAAAACCGCTAACACATTTCAGCCTCCCAGGACCTTTATCATAGCATGTTTCAAAATAACTAAAATCTGGTTGTTGTGGGTAACAGGCACCTTCTCATGTTTTATTTTGATGCACAGGTCTAAAAAAAAAGACAAATGTTCTATTATTAACTATTAATTTAACCAAAAGAAGTTTTGAATTAATAATAAAAAAAACACCTTACAGAACCCAAAACCTGCAGTGTTATTCCAAGCATAACCCCCCCCCCATGAATCATGGCCCAATTGGGAAAAAAATAATAATTCCTGATCCTAAAAAGGAATTTAACAATCTATGGCATTATTTTGTATAAATGTTAATAGCCAGTTATATCTCATGCATTTAGGTGCAGAGTAGCTACTATTTTTTGGGATGAGAATAACTGTGCACGAAATTTACTATAAGGACCATGTACTGTATGCATTTAAACATGATGATCATATTCCCCTTAATTGCTTCATCTCAAAAAGGAAAAAAAAATATTTGAGTTAATCTCTCCTCATAGCTGAAGTCCTCCATGTCACTTATTGATTTACTTTCAGTTCTCTGCGCCCTTTGCAGTTCCGCAAAACCTGTTTTGTGAACTGGAGCCCAAAACTGTATATTCCAGATGGCGTCTTACTAATGCTCTTTATTCGGGAATTATTATATCTCTCTTTTGAGTCTCTGGGGTTGATTTACTAACCTTATAAACACGTCACGAACAAGTATACACCTCTGTAGTGTGTTCCCTCCCAGCATGATCTATTGGTGGAATCTAGACACCTTTGTAGTGTGTACACACCCAGCAGGTGTGTTGTGCAAAGCCCTGCATGAATTGTTGTGTAAATTAGCTCTACATTGTGTTGCTTGCGTTGATGAATGCAGGAATGTAAATGCATGACCTAACCATTTTTGTCTAAACTGTGAAGCAGCATTATATATGCATCATGTGCATGATTTTTCCATATATGGCATTAGTGGAAATATGCTTTTAGAGACTTTTTGGTTGATAAATACGTTTTGCTGTGTAGAAATCACACGCACCTAGTGCGTGCGTGTGTTTAGGTTAGTAAATCACCCCCTCTACATCTTTTACTACATGAAAGTATCTTACTTGCGCTAAAAGCTGCAGGACACCCAGATCCTAGTTTTACCCCCTATTTTGTATGATGCATCTATATTTCTGGTTCATTAAGTCAACGTTTTACCCCCCTCCCCCAGACGCATTCCTTGTTTTTGTCCCCCAAGTGCATAACTTTGCATTTATTATCATTAAACATCATTTGACATGCAGTTGCCAAATTAAACAGTGCTTTCAGGTCAGCTTGTTAGAGACGTCTTGCAGGGACTTTCAATACGTAGCTTTGTGTCGTCTTCAAACATAGAAATTGTACTTTAAATACCAAACTCCATATTTTTTCTTAACAGGTAACAAAGGTAACTGTCCAAGATCAGAACTGTAGAGTACACCATTGGATGTGGACATTTAGCCAGTGTTTTTACTCCATTATTATTTATTTATCACAGGAATTTAAATAGCAATTCGGCTACGTCCATGTCCAGACCAGATCTGGAGCACATATGCAAACGCAGTGCATTTTTGCCACGTTCCGGTGCGGTTTTTTTTAGTAAGTTTAACCACCTCCCGTCCGTTGGCTGTACCTAAACGGCTGGAAGGGAGCCTTGTAGATGTGGGTGGGCATTTTAAGACGGCCCGCCCCCATAGTGGGAAAACTGCAGTAAATGTAAACAGCCGGCGCTGGCCTTTTTAAATACAAGAATACAAGCGTACCGCCTGATCGCTTGTATTTTGTGTAGGTGTGGGTATTTTAGGTATGGTAGCTTTTTGCGATTTTGCAGGCACGTGCAATTTTAAGGCTTGACATGTGCTATATACCTGACGTGACCCTGTCTTTTATATTTTACCAAAAAATTGGGGTGATAATAAATGTTTCACAACATTTCATAGGGAAACAGGTTTTTTTTTCAAAACCTTTTTTGTTATATAGTAAAAAACTAAAAACCCCAGTGGTGATTATATACCACCAAAAGAAAAGCTCTATTTGTCCCCAAAAATTAAATAAAATTTGTTTCAGTACTGCAGCGCTGAATACTGAAAAACAGCCTGGCCAGGAAGGGAGTTTAACACCCTGATCTTCAAGTGGTTAAAATGGGCTTTCAGTCCAGAGCGTTTGCATGGGCTTTGATGCATTTCCATGCGTTTCCAGTGCATTCCAGACCAACGAAAATGAGACTAGCAGTATCTTTTTTTTTCTGGACCGAATCGGACTGTGTTGGTGTGAACAGAGCCTAGAAATACCATAGGGATACATTGGGATGCTTTTTTTTGTCCGGGAACAGACTGTTCTGGTCTGGACATGGTCTGGACCTGGTGTGAACAGGCCCTTAATGCAGCACTTTACATACTGTTCATTCACATCAGGCTTACAATTTAGGGCCCCTGGTTTCCTCATCTGTCAGAGTATGCAGAAAAAGAACTAACTGTATTTTCCTAAACAAACAATGATTTTTTAAACCTGTGCTTAAAATTGACAGTTGTAGAAAAAAATATATAAATTTGGTTGGTAAGTGGCAATTGCTCAAAGAATAACTTTTTAGACCATGTTTCATGGTACACCCATATTTAACATGGTCCCATCCCACCCCCCAAATGATCTGAATTGCAGGGGTTCTCTCCCCGCTGGCTCCTGTCTACTTTTTAATTTGGCATGACTGTTTGCTTCTCCGTCCACACAGCCACATCATCTATTTACAGATCTTTAAATGGAGAAACTGCAAGTCCTGTCTGTCGCCATGGCAGAGGGAGGCATAGTTCTCAATAGATTACAACTGTGGTGACATCACTATGCTTGCAGTCCACTGATACTTTCTCCCGTCCCATAACTACCTCGATACAGACCTAGGGCTGGGGGAATAGTCTGCAGAAATTGGAGCATTGCACCCACAGATCGTGTTTGCAGTGCTTTGCGGGTTCAAATGCAAATGATTAATAAATGTAAATGTTTCGTTTATTAACATTTATGCATTTAATACATTTTTTGCTGGATCATGCCTTGAAAACACTTTGATAAAATAAATCATGCTTGTTTTTATTGATTTGGCAATATTCTGAACACTTTTCACATGTTTACTGGTTTTATTTTTGTGTGCAGATGGCAGCACTGCAGAGTCCTTTCTATGGTGACAAAATGAACTTGTATTCTCTGTGTCAGAAGATAGAACAGTGTGAATATCCTCCCCTACCAACAGAACACTACTCTGAAAAAGTAAGTAGACGCACCCAGTATCTGCCAGAGAGCACATAAGCATTTTTCAAAAGCAGAAGGGACTTCTGGGTAATTGCCATATTTACATGGCAGGTCTTTAAGTGAATATCCCACCTGCTGTTTTTTTTAAGCCTAACAGTATTTGCTGACTACCGATGAATAGTACTGTGTGCACTGTACATAGTAAACAAAAATAGCAGAGTATTAATAAGTACATGATGTGTATTGTAGTGCTGCCGCTCTTTCCATATTTCACGCTCCTGTGATGTCAGTTCAGTAATTGCCTGCTGGCTCTAGGAATTAGTGTAAGTTGACAGATGTGTTTCCTGTCTGTACAATTACTGTCTGTCCACCTCCCTCTGGCAGTGCTAAAGAGCACATGTAAGTACAGTGATACAGCTGAGGGTGCGAAGGAGTGTTTAAGGCTCCAAAGCACCAGCTCAGGCAAAGCCAGGCTCCAGATGGTATGCATGCACTATTAGCACAGCGCCAGAGTGAAAGTGCGTGGGGCGAGCCCTTTGGCTCTGGTTTAGCTGTCTGTACATGCTGCTCCTGCCAGTAAAAGTAGCACGTCTTCTTCTTCTCAGAGATTTGATTCGGCATGAGATAATCTCTATAAAAAAAACTAAAAAAAACAAAGAGCGGCACATATATTAAAACCAGAGGCCAGGCCTGAGCTGACCCCTTTCTACCTGCTGCTGATCCTTGGCCTTAATTTATATTCTAAGTTGTGCTTTATCCAGCAAGCGCACTCTCCGGGGGGTGCAGTTCATGGATTTGCTGTGATTCATGAAATAGAATTCTTCCTTAAATTGTTCCTCAGTGTGTCATGCTCCGGCTTTAAAATATAAACTGTTGGCGTATGTCATTGTATCTTGTGTTTTTGTGAATTTCTGCCTGCTTGAATATCACAGCAGCTGACTGCAGTATTAAAAAAAAATACATCAAAATAGGGTTTATTTATGTTATTGTATATAGTTATTTCTCTTTTAAAGGCTATTTATACTGAGCTTTAAAAGGACTTGTCAGAAAGAAAATATGGGAGCTGCCACTGCTGAGATCTTTTCCAAGGTGCATGCTCCTGAGATGTTTTTCTTTTCTTTACTGCTTGGTTAGCCATTGACCTAAAGCAAGTGTGTGCTAATCAGTTGCCTCAACACTTCAGTGGGTACATGTTCGTTCCAGGTTAGTGACTTACTGAGTCGTGATAATGACAAGCCTAGAGCCTGCAGATTCAAAAACAATGCAGCAGTGGCTGCCCCTTATTTCTATCCTGACAGGGCTAAGAATGCAAATTACCAGCAGGACACAAATGATGGAATCCAGAAGTGCCAGCACATACTTGTTCTGTGAGGTGGGTTGAGTGACTACCACTGAGAAGCAGGATGTAGGAGGACATCAGGTGACAGGAAGGAATTACTGAGACGGGCAATGCTGGGGAAGAGGTGAGTATTGCAGCAAGATCTGCCTTTAATTGTTGTCGTTTTAACACCTCCAGGCATACTTTTTTGGTATTTGGCCTGACTTATGCTTTAACTCTTTCGCTGCCAAGCCCTCCGGAGCATTTTGCAACTCAGCTGGCCACGCCATTTTTGCAATTTTTCCCATTGATTTGATTTTCAACTGCTGCGTTGCTACGTTTGTAAAAGACCCCCCAAACCATATATTTTCTTAAAGCACAAGCTCAGTAGAATAAAAAGATGGTGCTACTAAATTTGTAGGCGATGCGATAATTGCGCAAATGTTTCTCAAAATTCATATTAAACCGATAAAAATACACAATTGGATTGATAAAGCACACTAAAATCAGTATCAGTGCACAAAAACACAATTGCATTGATAAAACACACTAAAATCAGTATCAGTGAACAAAAAAAAAAATTTCTGACTAAATCTAAAAGATAAAACTGTATTGAGTTAATAAATAACAAATATTTGCAAATTTGAAATTGCGCCTTTTTGCGAAACAGGTAAAAAAATGAAGAAACGCAAAAGTGTAAATAAGCGACCTATGTTGAAAATCGTGTTTGCGCTGTGTTGGTGTTTGTGTTGTGATAAAATGATACAGGCATATATTTAATTGCAACACAAGGTATCACAAGGCACGGCAATGTGTCACAATGCTTTGCCATGTGCTGCCACAGTTAAATTAATGTGGGGGGGGGGGTTGTGCTTTTTTTTTTAGTTAATCTTTTTTTACACATTTTTTAACAGTTTAATTTTTTGTACCTTTTTGTATTTATTTTTTGGTTTTACTGTTGGGGGGGCTACGGTGAAATATCTGGGGTCTAAACAGACCCCTAACATTTCCCTTTTGAAATAGAAAAATAAATTGAGTCCTCAATGTCTTTTTCTGCAGCCTCAGCACTCAATGAATGGAAAGCACTCAGTACAGAGGCTTCCCATTCATTCAGAAACTCTTGATAGTAAAATATTTACTATCGAGCAGTTTGAATGGGGAGAAGCCTCTGTAGTGAGTGCTTCTCCCCATTGAGAAAGTCATGAATGAACAAGTACTATGTGTCCCCAGTTATTTACAAATGATTCTGCTTGTCAGGAGCTGAGCGGGACGAAGGCCAGAGCATCCTGCTCAGCTCTTGGCAACCGGTGACGCCGGTGAGCTGGGCGGGAAGCCACAGAGTGCCACAGGTTACTAAGAGCTCCCCTGCCCGCCCCCACCCCGAAGAGATGCCGCCTGAGGCAACCACCTCAGACTTTCTCATTGTAGGGATTGCCCTGTGTATATATTATCCAAAATCAAATCAACAAACATAATCTAGTGTACACAAGTAAAATCCCACCAAAATACTGTTTCTCTCATCTTTGATATCATGAGAGAAATAAAAGCCCCCCAAAAAATGCGTAGATATACATCATGCCCAGTATGAATCTCACATGTAATGAGAGAGGTGTATAGTGATAGCGCTATTAGTACACAACACTCCCATGCAGCCTCCAGGTGCAGTCATATTACTGCTCACCTAAAAAGTGCATATGCGGGAGATATAAATTTAGTAATTTTGTGTAACCTATTATAGTATAAAAGTGCACAAAGTAACATGTAGAAGGTCCAACAGACTCAGTATCCAGCACCTAAAAGTTATGATAGGAAACCAAAACATTGGCCACTTAGGGTTTATGTGTGCATCATGTGGTATGTTCTGAAAGCACAGTTGGCCAAGAGGCAAAACGCAGTGATATGCATGGTTCTGCCCACTATGCTAAATAAAGAATAAACCCCTTATTTTGGGGGATTTGGTTTGGAAGTGTGACATGTAGATACCGTCTGTTTTAAGAAGGTTCTACTATTAACTATTACTATTAACATTTCTACCTATTTGAACACTACTGTACATACAGTATCTCTCTATTTCCATAACAAGGGGACAGAAGACACACATCCATCCAGTTCAACCAAAAATAACAAAAAACACCTTACATCCTCAGAATCCTAAAGCCGCAGTTTATCTAGAAGGTGAGCAAAATACTTCTAAAGTATAGTTCAATTTTCTTTAACAGGGAAAATAATTATTCTTGACCGCCATAGGCAACTAGATATTCCCTGCATCAACATTCTAGTGTTATTTCTTATATATGAATAGCTACTTATATTTTCATGCATTTAAAAAAAATATCCACCCCCTTTGCTGAAGCATTCTGAGTTGGCTAGAACCAGTGGAAAACTATGCCACATGTTTATAGCTTGTACTGGTAGGAATGCGTTCCATATGAAAATGTTAAACCTCTTCCCCTCTAGGAGCAATTGCTCTTATGTCTTTTTGGTGACCTTTAAGTGAACATATTTTCATAAAATCTGCTATATGGACCATTTATGCATGATCAATTCCCCCTTAACCACTTTTCTTCGAGCTTGAATAAATTCAGTTCACTTAAAGCTAAACTCCAGTAAAGGAAAAACTTTACCCATGCAGTGGGTTCGCTGCTGCACTGCAAGGGTTAATATTATATGGGACTGCTGGTATGGGATAATGTCAAAGAGCTGATAGCTTTACAGAAGGTACGTAGGTGTATTTAAGTCAATATAATCACACTGTATCACCTAAACTTGGCATTTGGTGATATGACCTGAAGCAGATCTGCACTATTGGAACCAAATTGTGCAGAATCTTCTTTTTATGACACACAAGCAAAAAATAGCCTTTCCTTTCTTAAAGTCAGTTAAAAATTCATGCCAAACAGTGACATCGCTACAGGGGGCAAGGGGGGCCTAGGTTATTCCTTTGCCCTGCGTTAACAGTGTCGGATCTGAGTGACTTTGTGGGACCTGTGCACCCGCTGCTTGTGCGGCAGTCAGAGCGGCGGAGGGAGAGACCATTTTCTCGGGGGGCATCAGAAATTGCCCAGTTCCGCCTCCCCCAACAAAACATAGTAATGTGCAATGTGGATGACAGACCCATTTTAATGACAGTAATGTGCCAAATGTTTGGCCGAGATTCCATTGCTGCACACAATGTCAGGATGTGTGAAAAAAAAAAAAAAGGACAAACAACTGCAACGGAATTTATTATTACAATATTCTATTCTGTAAGCAACACCTTGTTTTCTGGTAGTGCCCCTCCCGACACTAGACTCTGGATCTGCATCCTGTATACTGCAACCGCCAGGCGACGAGAGATGATGGAATCGGCACCTGGCGCTTGCGGTATTCAGGATTGTAGGCGGCGTTGGACTACATGTTGCAAAATTAATTAAATCAGCTCTCGGCGGTTGCGACATGTAATCCGACGCCGATCACAATCTCCCTCTTCATCTCCTCCGCGGTGCTGGGAGGAAATGACAGCACTCTATGGTAGATAACCGCACGGGGGGAGACATCCAACCAGGCACTTCTGGCCCTGAGTCTAACCCATCTGTCCACATACACATACCTTTTTATTGTAGTGTGAGTCAGTGTGTGTCATTGCATACCGCATTACTCTCCTATTTGTAATCTTATTTATATATACATTATATACATATTTCGGGGTTTTTAGTGGTAT